TGTTGCGGTCACACTTACCCCTGCAGCACTACGGTAGTTCTCAACATTACTTACCACCCAGGATGCGCTCCGGATCATCCAGGCAGAGCCCAGGTGCAGCTACGGTTCATGCCGGTGCTTCCCCGTTCGTTCCCGGATGACGCCGGAAGAGCCCCGGTTGACCCAGGCAGAGCCCCGGTCGATCCAGGCAGAGCCCTGGCAGAGCCCAGGACGATCCAGGCAGAGCCCCGGTAGAACCCCGGTGGATTGAAAACGCCCGAAAATGATAATATAATACATAATTTTTATTTAATATAATATCTATTGTTCCAGAATAGTTATTCATGATGATTTTCTGAAAAATCCTGATGCCATACTGGAAAGAAGGGAAATGAGAAGGGTTTTAATACCAGCAAGTGCAATCATCGCAAATTGTCGTTATTCTTTTGAAATGATCCGGGCTTTGCCGGGGCTCTACCGGGATCAACCGTAGCTCTACCTTTATCATCCGGGGCTCTGCCTGTAGTTGCCGGGGCTCTGCCGGCATTTTCCGGGGCTCTACCGTAGCTCTATCGGCTATATCATACCCCGGATCATCCCCGGTTTGTGCCGGCAGAGCTACGGTGCTTCCCCGGTATAACCCGGTCGTTCCCGGCAGAGCTAAGGATGAAGCCGGCAAAGCTATACCTTCCCGGATCATCCCGGACCATCCCGGTGATATTAAATATTTTATTCCATCTGGGATCGAATGCCGGATGTTCCCGGATCATCCCGGATCATACAGGACGTTGCCGGCAGAGTTACGGATGTACTCCGGTTGTTCCCGGTCGTACCCCGGTCGTTCCCGGATCACCCAGGACGTCTACCGGGGCTCTGCCGAGATGTAAGTGAGACTGTAGCTTTATAAATAACGTGCCAATGAGCCAGTCTATAGTCGATCGTTCTAAAACTTAACCGTTGAGAGAGGTAATGACATTTCAGTTTCCAATTATGGTTCCCCTGGCATATCTTGATGATATATATCTATCAATTTATTCATATTTTTAACTATTTATTATTATTTGATATTACAGACATATTTTTGCTATTTGTAAAATAACAGACAGTTCGTCCTCAAAATCATTCGAACATTATGCAATTCGCACCAATATTTAAATGGACATATTCTCGGCACATATTGTCTTGAACTTATTTTAAGTTTACCAATCATTTTAATTTTACTTGTTATCCAATTTATTTTGCTTCGACCAGACGTTTAAATCGTTGTCGCAACAGGCAAACATTTCAGAATTTCAGACACATACCATGATACCAAGAACATGGAGAAAAAAATATTAGTGCTGTAATAGAGAACGATTTTCAATTCTGATTGTGTACATCACCTGTGACTGCTCACATCATTTGGCGGCGTCTTTGATGTGCAGCATCAACATTTAACTTGTACCATTCTTAAATAAAATTTTAAGGATAGCTCTATCATAAAATAAAATGGACAGTTTTGTCACTACAAAATAAAATGTACGGGATATAGTGTACAGGAATGAGGATAGTCCTTTAACTTTTATGTTAATTTGTAAATGATTACAAAATTTGTAAAGTCAAACGGAAAAAAGTAAAAAGGACACCTTAAATAGAAGTTGTTCTTTGAAAAAATCGTCAACATCAATATGCTTTAATTTAATTTCAATGTTTACAAAATTGGTATTTTCTTAATAGCTACAAGAAATAATTATCATGTTATTGTTATGCAAGCATTGCTAACATTTCTTTTTGTATTGAAAACTTAAAAAATAACATACTTTTGTATGTTAAACAGTTATACTTCAGCCGAGTATCTTTTTAAAATATACTTCTTGTTTGTTTTTATCTGAGATAAATCTGTGATCTGAGTTATATCTCGTGGGAACGTGTGGAACGAGATAGCGAATTTTTGTGTGTGTTTTTTCAAGGTTATAACTTGTGGCCACGATATAGCAAATTGTGTTGTTTTTTTCTGAGTTATATCTCGTGGGAACGAGATAGCGAATAATTGGTTTTTTCTTAGTGGTCACGAGAAATAAAATAACATCGGAATGTCCCCTCTGTGCTTCCGTAATTCTACATTCTAAGTCACCATTTATTGTTTTTTTTTTCAGTATTCACATGTTGTTTTGAATATCTGTACTTTTTGTGGGTTCATTGATTCAGCATTCAGCCTGTGTATTATGAGAGACGCCCGTTCCCCATACTCCAACTTTTATTATAAAATAAAAAATCACGATCTTAGAAAAGGGGAATTCCCACGTTATATTCAGGTCCCGTGTTCACAAAGAAAGGATCAGGATCAGGTGATCCTGATTTTATTTCCATTGTTTTATAAAACTAAAATCGATTGTATTATGCTAGAATTAAATGGTACATATTCTTATTGTAAATAATTGCTTATTTGCATAGAAACAAACCTATTTTGGGATAAAATCAACTAATAACAAAACAAATACAAAAATAATCGGATCAAAATGAGGATCAATTTTAATTTTAGGATCAAGATCAAAATTTGGATCAACTGTAAAATGCCCATTTCTTGTAAAAATAACAATAAATTTATTCTAAAATTTCATAAACATGCTATTTTAAGTCCAGTTTTATCAAGTTAATATTGAATTTTTAATCTATGAGGATAAATAATGGAGAATATTTGAGTTTTTAAATTTGATCCCGATCTTGATCCTGATCCTTAAATCTTTGTGAACACTTTCAGTGCTTAGATTTTTCGAATCATAAAAAATTATAACGGCCGCTCAAATTGTATTCAAGTGAGCTTGTGCGTTTTTTTTTTAATTCTTGAAAATACAATTGTATCCTTTCAATAATGCAATGTTAAAGACACATTCGTTTTTAGGTATCGGCTGCCTAGCATTTGACGTAAAAGCTGGTCATACATGTAAATATATTGATTTTTAACAATAACCTTTTTGTCGTTTTCCCCACTCATTTATCTAAATTATTAAGTTCTGAAGTTATTCAAACATTATGTCAATAGTGTGTCGAAGTTTCAATACACAGTTATATCTTGTTCAAGCGCATTTTGGTTGCAAACTTGTACTTTAAAAGCATTTTGGTTGTAAACTTATTATTTTGAGTTAAATATAAGGCAACATACAGACTCAACGAAGATCATATTTATTAGTGACAGATATTTACTCAACAATTTTATATAATTGTTTTATCTTACTTCCATTTTCAAACGGCTTGATATGTTTGTTGGTTTTGTCCCATTGGATACTTTCGTCGTGGTTCTTTGTGGCTGGAATTTATCGGAGGCTGCACTTGTGAATGTTGCCCTGCCATGTTGGTTTTTGCTTTTATATACATGTATTTTGTTACAACTTAAATGCACATGTGTATTTTATTTTAATTGCATGCTTTTCTGTTCATTACTAAAAATATCATGAAAGATTTTTGACTATTTACTAGGAGTTATCAAATAGCTGAACTGAAGTATAGCATAAACCAGAAGTGTAATGAACGAATACTTCAATTGTCTGTAAAACATAAATATTTCACACTTGAGGAAACAAGCGATAGAATCAAAGTTGATAACTTACAACACACAAGATCGGTTGTCGAGATTCTGATGCTTATCAGCGAGAAAAAAAAGTGAAATTTGTCAAAATAACAAGAAATATATATTCGTTTATTTCGTATCATACAGGGAGGGCTACGCCACACTTGAAAAAAGATAATTATCCCCTCGATATTTGCCAAATCTTATCTCGCACTGAAACAAAAAATAATCCCTTATATAATGTTTGTATTACTTGTTTTTTCTGTTGTTTATTTTTAATCATTATTTTTAAAGGTAAGATTTGAAATAGAATATAACAACATAAATTATGAAAATTATCGTGATTTCTTTTTGATCACTTATTTCTTCTTTCCTTTCTTTTTCTTCTTCTTCTTCTTGTTCACCTTTGATGGATAATAATAATTTTATACGAATGCACTTATCTTGGTATTTCTTTTCATTTCAGTGTAAATCTACTTTTCTTGAAACATGTCAAACTTAAACTTTCAATTAAAATCAAATGCAATTAAGTTTCTATTTATGAATTTTTCTAACATGTCATAGAATTTCCTAAAATTCCCACTTATTATATATCTACAAATATTTTATCTATAAGTCGAAAGTAGCGAGATGTTATATTTAATTATATCAAAAACGTGTATATCATCTAAAAATACTTGAATATTACAATAATTATTTTAGGACCACGAAAAGTATGCAATATTGCTTGAAGTAGAATCTACAAGTTTGCAACCAGAATGAGCTTGAACATAATATTTTTGTAAATGGGAACTTAATTTGGAACATTAATGCAGTATTGACAGAAGTATATTTGTGTCTTGCTTGATGAACTTCAAAACTTAAAATTTGAATAAATTAAGATCTAGTGGAAAAACCGACCAGAGAAGTCACTTGTTAAATCTGAAAATAGGTATATGACAAGCTAGCATGAAACCACACATATATATTATACAATATTTAGCTCCATGGTATATAAATATTTAACTCCACATGTGATGCGTGTCATAAACAATGCATTTATAATAAAAAATGAAAACAACTGCCATTGTCAAAATTCGAGAGGGCGTAAAAAAAAATTATGATAATTATTTCAAGTTTGCAACCATTTTGCTCTCTTGGTCCAAGTGTGCAACCACCTCACAGCGTGCCCATTCAAGGAATTTTGTCAGACATTAGTATTTGAAATTATATTTTGTCCAATGAATTCGTTCCATTTTTCAAATTCATTGGCGCATTTAATTAATCTAATCGACACGAAATTGTCATCATATATACTACCTCTTTAAATAAATTACGATCCGTTGTATGTTGTATTTAATAATCTTTTTTATAGTGGTTTATAAGTGCACCATATGTAATGTTTTCATTAATAATTACCGCCACCGTATATTGTTAAGTCACCGTATATTGTTAAGTACGTGCGCTAAACTGTAGGATGTATAATATGACGTCATTTTAGCAGACGCTCGTGCAGAAAATTCCAGAAACAGTGAAGATTACAGATTTCGATTTCTGATTTTTTGTTAATCTATACTCCATTCTCTTCAACACTCAGATCAGATGCAGAAAATTAGATAGTCGCGAAGGCATGAAAGACAACGCAAAATGATGCAATTTTGTACATATATTCGGATAGTTCCAACAGAGAAGTATGGTATGACGCAGTCATCGAATTTTAGCACTGGCCCGGTGGCCCATGGCCAGTGAAAATTAGATCTAGTTCCGGCCAGTGAAAATTTTAAGAAAATTTAGTTCAATATATAGTTGAATAAATTCAAAACTCGAATTCGGGCTAGTAAATTCAAAATCTTAAATTCATTGACCGATGCTGTCATTATAAAAATTAATGTTTGTTATAGAACTCCCCGCGGATACCGCGTCCGTGCCCATACCGATGTAATCAGAAAATTTGTTTCTTTACACATTGAATGCCACCAAATACTGTTTCCACCGTGAAAGTGGAAGTGCTGCTGTTTGTGAATTTGGATAGAAATTGTTAGAATTTTTTTTTCATTTTAAATAAATTCTATCATTGATAGGAAAATGGTACCATAGTGCTCTCCGTTTATTTTTAGCTCCCATTCAAAACATGGCTGACTGACCATAGATGTTTCTAATTTAAATCATGGAGTTATTTTATCAATGACATGTGTATTTTAATGTTGAGATACGACAACAAAACACAATTCAATAAAATAGTAAATACAAGTTCTTTTTATTTGTACAATTTGCTGGAAATAATAAGAACAGTGGTACCATAGGGGACAATCCTAAGTCATTGGTGAAATAACCAGACATGGGGTAATCGGTAATTTAATTTAATTTAATCGATTACAATTTTTTGAGTAATCACAGTAATCAGTAATCATATTTTTTTTCATGTAATTTAATCATAATTTAATCAATTACATGACCAATTAATCAGTAATCACAATGATTACATGTATGATTACAATACATGTTAAGCTAAAAAAAAATTGCTAAACAAACAGACATATAAAGTGTCAATGCCTACTAATTGTCTTAGGTAGTGTAGGTGAAAATGCAGTCACCCAGGTCAGATTTGATGACACCTGTGTTTTAAAAAGGTGATGAAAAGATCACTGACAGATTGACGCAATACATAAATGATTGTCACAATTATACCACTTAAATTTAGCTGTGAAATTATAAAAATGGCCTGGATAGGTATATTATCACTTATTGAGAAGACTTTACAGGTTCAGTAAAGAGCAAGTATAAGCTGCAATTACTGACAAAAGTGAGATATGGTTTACTGTTACATTTTGGTACTATTGTTAAGTCCATGTAGAAGCAAAAAGTACAAAAAGATTTTCATCATATCGAAAAGAAAGTAATACGCAAGCATGGCAGGAAATATGCCTACTGTTTTTAGCTCGACTTTTCTATGAAAAGGGGAGCTATCCTACTCGCCCCGGCGTCGGCGTCGGCGTTGGCGTCACACCTTGGTTAAGTTTTTCGTACCACCCCACTTTATTTCAGAAGTATTACAAGTATGGCTTTGAAACTTACCATACTTGTTCACCATCATAACCTCCATCTACAGACAAGAGTACATAACTCTGTCAAGGTTTTTGACAGAATTATGGCCCTTTTTTGACTTAGAAAGTGTATTGAGCTTGGTTAAGTTTTTTGTACCACCTCACTTTATTTCAAAACCATTGGAGGTATTGCTTTGAAACTGACCATACTTGTTTACCATCACGACCTTCATCAACAGACAAGAGGACATAACTCTGTCAAGGTTTTTGACAGAATTATGCCCCTTTTTGACTTAGAAAATACATTGAATATGGGTAAAATCCACTTATTGCCTTAACCCTTTGAGATATTGCTTTGAAACAGCCTGTGTGAAAGAGATCCACTTGTGACCAACTGACAACATCTAAAAAAGCTTGATAAAATTTATCTATTACTTGTATTATAAGGTAACTATAATACTTTCACATACAAAGTCAAATCTATATATTATGCTGATTGTACAAAAATATACTGCTTCCTTGGCATAGATTTCTTGAAAAATTATGTTATTATGTCATTTACCAAGGTGTTCTGAGTGACGTAAAAATACCTTATTCTCTCAAAGTGGGTTTAATACTATTAAATTTATTTAAGGCTCAACTCAGTTTTTTTTTCTTTCTTACCAGCCCTCTTTTGACTTAAACATTTCAAACTTTGCTGCAGTGTTCAAGGGTATCACACAATTCAGTAAAATAATTCTTCACTAAATATCTTAATGCTCATGGCCATTGTTCACTTTAAAAATACAGAGATTCTTGTATTGCCTTTTACTGCAAAAACTTTTTTTATTGGCAAGCAATAAAAAAGTCGAGCGCGCTGTCTTACGGACAGCTCTTGTTAAATACTTCATATTGCCAAAAAAAAAATTCCTGATGATGGCAATGTGAGAGCTAAATGAACACTTTCATATATATCAGGAAATGTTCAGCATTTCATAACTTATGTGAATGTATATCAAAATCCCCTTGATCATAATCCCCTTGGTTGAAAAATGACATAGTGATCGAAATCCCCTCAACAGAAATGACCGGGTGTTCATAATCCCCTTGATGGATAGTCAAAATCCCCTTGGCAAAAATGATGGGGTGGTCAAAATCCCCTCAACTTGTGAAAAACAACCCCCTTTACTCAATATTCTTTTTCCTTTGATCTTTTGTCACTCCAGCTAAACTATTGTGTTACATAAAGAAATGTTGCAAACAGCAGTTACATTGAGTAGAGGAAAGAGTATGGAGTATACTTTAGCAATATAATACAGGTTATTTTTAAATACTCCAATGTTGTCATTTTCATGTTAATATAAAATATAAAACCAGACATAATATTTCACTCTTATTTATTTTCTGACAGCACATTTTACATATGTTAGCACATTCACAGAATTTAAATAGCACCGACATTATTTTATTCTGATAATCTGTCCCAGAGCACCCAAGAAGTCTTCAAGGGATTTAATGCCACTTGCGTACTGTGAGCACAAAACTTTCAGTCTCTGCTGGTGAGCTTTAGTGGCCTTCTTCACTCGTTTCTGTAGAAGTTCACCACGATTACATCTCAGAATTTCAGCTGCCACCATTTTTGCATCCTTTTCAACACATTGCACAACTGTCCAAAGTGAAGGATTTGAATGTCCAACAAGGTGCTTAAACCCATTGTTCCAAGATTCACACTGGTTATTTGTTCTATCCTGGTCAGTCATTGTGGCACTGTGCACATTCCAAATTGGTGGAGGAAATCTTGGAGAGGAGCGTCGGAACCTCATATTTCCATTAGCAGTGATGACTGCGCGAAAGGATCCATTTACATAGTTGGAGTCAAAATACTCAACCAGACACTGTAGATGATCTGGGGCCTGTTCACATAGTAACGTCAAGCCTTCTTGCACATCGCTGCATGGAAGAAACGCCAGACCGTCAAGCTTTCCGCAGAAGGATTTCACATCATCATCATTGTTGTAGTCAGACTGAAGACCCTCTGCTTGCACTCTTCTCCAAGTAGCTTGGGTTAGATGGTAAAAACATCCCTAGATGGTGTAAAAAAAAAGGTTTTAATATGCTGTTTAAATAGTCTTTTACATATTATAATACAATTAAACAAGAATATGAATGATATATATATACATACAAAGCCTGATCATGTGTTGTATTGAATGATTCATTTTCAGCAACTTTTATCCTGATTCAACGTCAGACATGTTAAAGGCTTGTATAATTATTAACAGAAATTTGGTTTCATTTATTTTTTTTATTTAATGAAATAAATGGTTTCATTTATTTTTTTTTATTTTTTTTCATTTAGCAATGAAATAAATGGTTTCATTTAATTTTTTTTATTTTATTTCATTTAACATTGAAATAAATTATTTCAAATGATCTTATTTTTTATTACCTGGATATGAATGTTGCTGGCCAATACAGTTCTCACAGCATTGTGTATAGCTATCTCATAGTCTGCCATAATTTGCTCTGGGTTAGGTCGGATACCTCGCTGCAGACAGGCATCTAGTAGGGCAGTCAGCATTTCTTCATACACCAGCTGTTGCTTTGACGGAAGGAGTGCGTAGACAACTGAGACACAGGATTCACCTAAAGGTACACGGATGACAAAAAGTTGTTGGAACTGAGAGGGCGCTGTAGAGTGGGTGCCATCCATAAACCATCTGGATGCACTATCTAGGAGGCGAAGACCGTCATTAGTGGCGAAGATGAGGATACGGTTGTCTGGAGACTCGTTGTCGTAGATGACATTACTTGCAAACTCAATAGGGAAAGGAACAGGAACATCTCTGATTGTTGATGGGTTCTTAGGTGCTGTTCCTCTCTTGGCGCGTCTCACAGTTTGCTTCAAACTCTTTACGGAACTGGCAGCAATAACCTGAAGTAAAAATAAAGCAACAGTTTTCATGCACTCAATTCAATTATTTCATTTTCCTATTTCACAGTTGTTTGTCTGGCCTTTGTGTCTGTACATTCTGGGCATTTAACATATTCATCAGTATTGTCATTATATCATTAATATCATCATTAAAAGTAATCTTACTAATATAAATTTCCAAAGTGGTTTATTTCATGAGAAGACCCATGTGCATTTTACAGAGCATGTTGAAATTTAAAAAAGAACAATTTTGAAATTTACAGGATTTCTATGAGTCTTATTTATTAACTCACCTCTGTAGGCTGCAGCGATAATTTATCTGTTACTATCTGTCCGGGTTTACCACGGTTAGCTTCAGCAGATGCTTTTATCTCACTGCGGACTTTAAGTGCCTGCATTGCAAATTTGTCAGGAGCATGACTGTGCGCGGTTTCAGATTTGACAGAAGACACCTAGAAATAGAACATAAAGTTAGCATGCTGAAATTAATATTTACCTATTATAATTCAGATTTATGCATACTTTTATTATGATGTGCTTTATGTCTCCATTAATATTTTCATGTAATCTCTTTTGCTTTACTTAAAAAGAGTGCTATACAAAGGTTAAAAAAAATAATAAGACGAAAAAAATTAATTCAGGCATAACTTGCACAATTGATACATATTAGTTTATCTCATGTTCAATGTACCAAATGATTATTATTGATTATATACTTACATGTAAATCAGTAGTCAGTGCACCTTTACAGTTCAGACCAATTCTCTGAGAGCATTCCCACCGCATTGAGGACTTATTTTCATTTTTCTTTGTGTAGGCATAACCTTCATACAGAAGCTTACGAGAACCTTTGTTACTTGTAATGAATTCCATTTTGGGTATTCATGTCTATTGCAGAGAGCCATCATATTATATACCCAACAAAATAACAGTTTGCAGTTAAGTAAAACAAAGATGAAGTAATTTTAGATAGCAAACTGCAATTAATAGCCTCATTTTAAGTTATTATCTGGAAAGATCTAAAGCTAGTGTGCAACAAATTTGCCTTTAAAGGTGTTTATCATTGCAAAGATTAATTGATTGTTTGTTACATATAACTATAATTGCAATGATTAATTATAATCAACTATCATTTATTTGTTTGTATTTTACAATTTTCTCAGCAATAATAACATCAACAAAGGGTGTCATTATTAACTGGCTGTGACAAACATACACCTTTTAATTGTTTGTATGCTTTTCTCTCTTTTTCAGCAATTCTTGAAGCAGTTGGTTCTTAAATTCATTGAACTAAAAAGAAAAATAAGAAAAGAAATTTCCCAACCATTTCACATTATTTGAGGGGATTTTGACTACCCACTGAGGGGATTATGACCACCCCTTTATTTTTGCCAAGGGGATTATGATAACCCTGTCATTTCTGTTGAGGGGATTTCGATCACTATGTCGTTTATCAACCAAGGGGATTATGATCAAGGGGATTTTGAGCGTCTCCCAACTTATGTACATGTAATCAGTAATCATAAATGTAATCTGATTACTCCTGTCAGTAATCAGTAATTTAATCAATTACAATGTCGAAATGGAGTAATCAGTAATTTAATTTAATCAAGCATTTTGACAAATAATCATAATTTAATCGATTACAATTGTCAAGTAATCGCCCCATGTCTGGAAATAACATCATTATAAAATATAAAGTGTCATATTTCAAATGCTTAAATACGGCTTCTGAATCATAGGCACTTTGTTTCGGGACAGTGACCCTTTTAACCCATTACTGCATGAAAAATGGCTGTTTTCATTGAAAAATCTCTGGTTACAAGTTCCAATTGCTATAAAACTATAAAAACTGCTTCAGTACTAATCAAACTTGGCACAAATGTTGACTTGACCATTGCCTTTGTAACAACATGCTCAGTCTTAAATTTCCTGTTACCATGGCAATGAGGGAACATCTCAAAATTGCAAAAAATCACTATTTTGCATTGATTTTTAGCTCACCTGAGCATATGCTCAGGGTGAGCTATTAGGATCACTCTCCGTCCGTTGTCTGTCTTCCGCCATACGTCGTCCGTTGTACGTTCACACTTTTAAAACGACATCTCCTCTGAAACCATAAGGCAGATCATAATGAAACTTCACAGGGATGTTCCTTGTGTGAAGCCTTAACAAAGTTGTTCAAAGAATTTAATTCCATGCAGAACTCTGGTTGCCATGGCAACCGAAAGAAAAAAACTTTAAATATCTTCTTTTAAAAAAGCCTTAGAGCTAGAGCTTAGATATTTGACATGAAACATCTTCTAGTGAGTGTCTACCAAGTTTGTTCAAATAAAAGCCCTGGGGTCAAAATTGGCCTCGCCCCAGGGGGTCATTGATTTCCCCTATATGCATATAGTAAAAACTTAAAAAATCTTCTTTTAAAGAACTCAAAGAGCTAGAGCTAAGATATTTAGTATGAAACATGTTCTAATGGGTGTCTACCAAGTTTGTTTAAATAAAAGCCCTTGGGTCAAAATTGGCCCCGCCCCAGGGGTCATTGATTTTCCTTATATGTGTATAGCAAAAAAAAATCTTCTTTGAAAAAACCCAAATAGCTAGAGTTTAGATATAAAGCAGTGTAAGAAATTCGGATTTGAATCCACTAGGCTGGTCGGACTACCAGATTGGAATATTCACTAGCCCAAAAGACATTTCAATAGCACGATTCATTTGTTCAAAACAGTTGTTTATATATTGCCTCTGAAAAAACAGTAGCCTGGTCGGGCTTGTTACTGTGAAAAGTTGGTAGCCCGAGGAGAAATTTAGTAGTCAGGTCTATCGGACTACTGCTAATTTCGAACACTGTTAAGCATGAAACATCTTCTAGTGAGTGTCAACAAAGTTTGTTCAAATAAAAGCCCTGGGGTCATAATTGGCCCCGCCCCAGGGGTCATTGATTTTCCTTATATCGTCGTGCTAGTATAATAAGGTCCTAAGTGCCATTATGTAACATTGCGGGAAATCGAGCTTAAAAATTTAGTAAACAGAAAAATGTTACTGGACCATGTAATGATGGAGATTTTTTGAATGAATCATTAATATGTTCTATCATAACTTGCAAACAAAGATTTTACACGATATCTTTAGAGATATTTTCTAAAACCGGATATTTCATTTTGAGATAGAGCTTTTTGCTTATTTGTACTTGCCGGAAGCTTAGAATTATGTTGCACCCGGAGATAGAGCGTTTTAAAACTGCCCAGGATAATATGAACTAGGATATAGGATATTTTAAAACTAATAAATATGTTCAATTCTAATGAAAATAAATAGGATTATTATGGTATTTGTATAAACAAACTAAAAATTTTGGTCAATAATTGTATTTTTATCTTTCAGATACACATTTTGATATTACTTGTGACGAAGAAATAAATTTGAATAATTTATTTCACGTGTTGGCATCAGTAACATACAAATTTTGTAATAGATCGCAATAAACTACTTGTACTTTACCTGCAATGTGATTTTTTTACAAAACTGAAACAAAAGATTTCAACACAATCACTTTAAATATTTATCATAATTATAACAATAACTACTGTAGAATCTATAAGGCAAAAGTTTTTCCAGCCTAAACAAATTCTGCAATGTTAACGAACAAAAACACTTAATTCACTTAGTTACAGACAAAAACTGAATATAAAATCATCTCTCTGATAAAATGGAAATTTTAACATGTTTATCTGTCACTTTGTCTTGAATTAGTTCTTGATTTTATCTCTCTCTCTGTTAAAAAGACCAAAATGTTTTAAAAAAATGCCCTCGATAGATTAACAATAAAAATGCAACAACTCCTGTCACAATTTAAAAGGCAGCACATACTACAAAAACATAAGTATAGATTGGAGGATTTTCAGCTGAAAAAAAACTTTACTCATTTTGAAAACTATGAAAGGAACAGTCAATGTAAGCATTTGCAATAAGTTCTTTAAACTATATGTGATCCTCCTTTTCTGCCAATAAGAGTGAAAATAAAGCAAAGTTTTAAAGGAACTTGATTGTTCACCTGATTTTGCATGAGAAAAAAGATATACTAGTAATTGACAGTAGTTGATGATAAAATCTAATCGCAGGAAAATCAAAGTCGTTTAAGTTTCTGCAATGTGAGACATTTAAGTTTTATTCTAGATGTGACAATTATTAAATTGGACTGTCTGAAATATCTAACCAATATGTTGATATACAGTGACTGAGCGAACTTAAATCATTGGTAAAGTTTAAATGTTGGAAAGATGAATATTCATGGAATTAGAAATAGTTTAAGCCCACGAGCATGTTGGAACATATTGTGGATGCCTCTATCGTTTAGGCTAAATGGAAAAGAAAATTCAAAATTTCTCATAAAAAAAACAGAAACATTTAATGCGCGGTTGTGGAGTCTTTTACATGTTAGTGAAACACTGTCAAGTAAAAATTCTAATGGAAGAAATCACAAAATAAACACTAGTATATGTTCTGGCATCTGCATTCAATGAACTCTGAAACAATTAAAGTATCTTAAACTACAACAACAGTTGGTTATACAGACGACAGTATATTAAAACAAGAAAGAACAACTATCTCCGAAATTCAAACATCCAAATATATCCATAGTTAAAAAGATATATTTTATAAAATTTATAACGACTTTTTGCACGATACCTTATTAATTTTTTTTTTGATAACTCAAATAGATGATTAAAAATGTTTCAGAATAAGTACATTAGCCTTAAAGAACACTACCTTCTATTTATTGCCATGTTTTTGAAAATATTAAAACAAAATAAAAATTTTCTCTTTAGAATTACAATACCCTATCTCCAGCAGTAGTGTTTATAACCATTTATATTTTAAAGGCGGTAACCATATATAATGGCATTATCTCTTTAAAAAGAATTAAAGGTTTTGCTTTGACTTACTGGTAATATTTCCAAGCAATTTATCAAATATGATACTAAAAAACTAACTTACTTCTGGCAGCCAGTTTAAGCAATGGTGTCAATGCTTTTTGACAAAGCAAAATCTGTCACATGACCTCGCACACAATCACTGATTGGCTCATGGACATAGAGCAACATAATAATTAATTCAACTATTATTTTCGAAAATGGAAAATGATATACATGCTATTATATCAAGCAGGGTAACCTCATACATAAATGGAAACCACCTGGAGATAGATCTTTTAATTCTGAATCCAGTGGTATATCATACTCAATTTTCATGAAAATGGAGATAGGACCTTATAATACTAGCACGACGATATGTATATAGCAAAAACTTAAAAATCTTCTTGAAAAAAACCCAAATAGGTAGAGTTTAGATATAAAGCATGAAACATCTTCTAGTAAGTGTCTACAAATTTTGTTCAGATAATAGCCCTGGGGTCAGCAAAAACTTAAAAATCTTCTTTGAAAAAAAACCCAAATAGGTAGAGTTTAGATATAAAGCATGAAACATCTTCTAGTAAGTGTCTACAAATTTTGTTCAGATAATAGCCCTGGGGTCAAAACTGGCCCCGCCCCAGGGGTGTCATTGTTTTTACCTATATGTGTATAGTAAAAACTTAAAAATCTTCTTTTAAAAAACTCAAAGAGCTAGAGCTAAGATATTTAGCATGAAACATGTTCTAATGGGTGTCTACCAAGTTTGTTCAAATAAAAGCCCTCGGTTCAAAATTGACCCCACCCCAGGGGGTCATTGATTTTCCCTATATGCATATAGTAAAAACTTAAAAAATCTTCTTTTAAAGAACTCAAAGAGCTAGAGCTAAGATATTTAGTATGAAACATGTTCTAATGGGTGTCTACCAAGTTTGTTTAAATAAAAGCCCTTTGGTCAAAATTGGCCCCGCCTCAGGGGTCATTGATTTTCCTTATATGTGTATAGCAAAAACTTAAAAAATCTTCTTTGAAAAAACCCAAATAGCTAGAGTTTAGATATTAAGCATGAAACATCTTCTAGTGAGTGTCAACAAAGTTTGTTTTAATAAAAGCCCTGGGGTCATAATTGGCCCCGCCCCAGGGGTCATTGATTTTCCTTATATGTGTATAGCAAAAACTTAAAAATCTTCTTTGAAAAAAACCCAAATAGGTAGAGTTTAGATATTAAGCATGAAACATCTTCTAGTGAGTGTCAACAAAGTTTGTTCAAATAAAAGCCCTGGGGTCATAATTGGCCCCGCCCCAGGGGTGTCATTGTTTTTACCTATATGTGTATAGTAAAAACTTAAAAATCTTCTTTTAAAAAACTCAAAGAGCTAGAGCTAAGATATTTAGCATGAAACATGTTCTAATGGGTGTCTACCAAGTTTGTTCAAATAAAAGCCCTCGGTTCAAAATTGACCCCACCCCAGGGGGTCATTGATTTTCCCTATATGCATATAGTAAAAACTTAAAAAATCTTCTTTTAAAGAACTCAAAGAGCTAGAGCTAAGATATTTAGTATGAAACATGTTCTAATGGGTGTCTACCAAGTTTGTTTAAATAAAAGC